TGGCTTTCTCATGATTTATCTTCTTTTGTCACCGTGCTTTTCCTCAGTATAAATGTAAAAGCATAAATCCAGCACAGTTTCCTGAGTCCTTTTAAAATCTTTAAATAGCCTTTTGTTGCTGTCATGCAGCAGATCTTAGCAGAAGTCGTTTGGTGCTAACAGCACTCAGGGTGCTTTAACAAAGAAGTCAGTGACTGTAGTGGTTTCTATTGAACCTGGTACTATGTTTTGGCAAATGCATCTCCGTTCCCTTTGCATCTGTGAGTAAAAGGTGCTCTGAGGAGGAGGAAAATGTCTGCTTTTTATAGAGCCATGCAGGGTGTGCAGTCATTTTGTTGGGTTTTGTTCCCTAACCATCTTTCCTGAAGTCTGCTGTAGGGTGACTGTTTATGTAAAGTCTAGTGTTTCCTAGCACTTTATTTTCAGACTTTATGTAGATGAAATGCTTGTGGTCACTGTCACTGGTTCACCACATGAAGGATGCCTAATAGCATGGGAGCTGTGCTGTCAGTGGGAGGGGCTCACCCAGGAAACTTTGGGGAAAATCTGTCTTGTGTAAAACAAGCAAACAAAATTCTAGCAACATCTTTTATGTGACTGTAACCATGTATGGAATGTGCACTCCTCTTCCCCTTAGTCTCCCATGTATATATAGCATGCATTCAGCCACTTGCTATGGATTCTGTGCACTCAGAGCCAGCAATCCATTTTCTATGACTCTCTCCTGCCTGTAGTCTAAGAAGGCAAGAACTGTATCTGTGCAGTTTGTGGAGGCTGTGTGTTTTGAGTTTTAGCACTAAGAAAAAAAAACAAAACTTTCTATTCTCACTGCCTTGCAAGGCATCCTAGAGAAATTGGAATCCTTTCCCACAAGGAACTGATGTATGTGCCATACCATAAATGTGATTTCAGTCCATATGACTTCTATGGCCAGGGATTGATTGCAGCTCCTACCTGTTTGTAGCAGGTTATTGAGTAAATTCAGCAGATCTGTAACTGAGGCAGGCTCTTCTGGCTGCTGACAGGACCAAAGATTTTGCAGACCATTAATTCATCCATCTGATCAGCTGGAAATTTCAGAGGTGCTTGAAAGAATTGCCTCTTGGGCACCCTTGGAAATATTAGTTAACTTCATTATGCTTTTTATGTTTAGGCTAATCTGTGCTTTCAGATTTGATCTTTTTCTCATAATGAAAATATTAAGCAGGAGTAAAAATTGTTACTGCATCTTTGATAGGAATCATGCAACATGGATCAAATAGTATAACTCAGTTTAAATAACCTGAAATATATACAGTTATCTTAAGGAATGCATGCTCAGTTCTGCTTGAGTTATCTGTCTTGTCCTGCTTATCTTCTGTAGAAGTGCAATTCTCAAAGGTTTAAGTCCTGCACTAATGTGCTTCATTCCTAACTAGGACTACGTGGTTAGTTTATCCTCTTGGTTGGAAAGAGGGTAATTAAGGGAACAAGAGAAAAGTTTATTAAAACTGCATTCAGGTTCAATGTAATGAAAAGTGAGCTTCCTGTGATGAGATGCTTCCAGAATCATATTTTTTCTGATTTCTCACTGACAGGGGCCCCCAGCATTAGGCTGTGTTGATTTGAAGCAGTGGTTTGGGTTGTGCTGGTGCCCCTGTTTGCATTGCTGTGGTGGTTGTGACAGACTGAAACAATAACCTTAATCTCAGGCACCTTCTCACCCCTGAGGGAAGGGAGGAGTTCCGCAGGAATTTACAATCTGCTTTGCATTGTATTTCCATTTCTTGGGTTGCAGGTTTTTACATCAGTGTCTTGGTTTGAAAAGACAGGTGTTTGCTAAGGAAGGCAGGAACCTCCCTTGAAATGGAAAAATGAGAAAACTCCCCTGCTTCCAAATTATTATAATCTTGAAATCAAGGGGTTCTCAGGCAAAGATATGGGAATAGGAATAACAGATCTTTACTAGGAAAATTAAAATAAAAATGCTGCTGTACAAAAACAACCCACTGACACAGAATAGAACCTGACAGCCTGCTGGTCAGGGTGCTGGTAGCAGTTTGATTAAATGGTGGCTGCTGTCCTCCTGGGGTGACAGATGAGGTTCTGTTGAAGCAGTGACACTGTAGAAGGGTGTAGCTTTCCTCTGAAGGTCCAGTGGTGGTGTAGATGGGTCTGGTCTTGCTCTGGGAATCCAGTGGAGAAAGGCTGCCCGCGGTGTTCCCAGTCTCAGATTATATCCAGGTAGGAATGCTTGGCTCCTCCCCCTGAGATGCTGTCATTTTATCAGTCCTGCAGTGAGACTCAGTGGCTCATTAACAGCAGATATCCCCCTGGAGGGAGGATGGCTCCTGGAAGAGGTGAAGAACACTGCCTGTTTTTAACAGATGGTAATGGAATACATACTTTTGGTTCCATTTTGCACTGCAACCCAAGACAAGGATTAAAGCATAACTTTGGCTACATTACCTCCAGCTTGGCTTTGCAGGCCATGTCAGTACTGAAGCACAGAGCAGGCTGCAGGACTTCCTAAAGCTGTGAGCACTCTTGCATATCTCCACTCCCCGCTTTTCCTGGGACTAGTTCCTTACAAAATGGCCATGTCTTGTTAGTTACCATAATCCATGAAAGCTGGTTGTACATCCTGGGTTCTGCTTCAGCGAACTGAGAAGCCTGTCTGCAAAAACAAAATCACAGCAGCCAACAAATTGTTTGCTTGTGTAGTCAGCCCGGGCTCTGTTTCTCTCCCTGGTTGCAGGCTGAGATTGCGGGTAAATCACATGGCTGGATCGGGTGGCTCTGGGGAGGCTCGCAGGAAAAGCAGTGCTGGATGGGCCTTTGCAACACGTTTACTGCCTTAGTTTAGTCTTCACATTTCAGCTTGACCCATGATTTTGGAAAGGTAACAGATTTTCTTAAGATTGTCCACACTCACAGGCTGATGGAACAGCCTCTCACAGTGGTTTGGGTGCACGTATCACTTTTATCTAATATTGCTGCAGCATCAGTAAGTGGAGTTAAGGAGTTACTTTACCGTCACCTCAGAGCAATTTAGGAGCTATGGCTCTTGCATCACTGGGTCCTTCTGAAAAAGAAGACATAAGTGGCAGTGGGGTAGAGCTCCTTACTGTTACAAAGCTGCAGTGGGGGATCTCCTGGCCTCAGCAATGCTGCAAAACTGCCTGGGATTGCACTGAGCACTGCTGAACAGAGACTTGTCCTTGATTCAGGTGTTGGAAAATGCTGAGCAGTTGGTGTTACAGCAGAGAATTTCATCGCTCTGTGGCAGGCAACTCAGCTTTTCTCTGATAAGGGCTTGAGAAATGATGAAGCTTTGCTCATACTGGTTTTGAGCCTTAGTCCATGTGATGCTTATTGCAAATACATGTACTTTGAGCTTTTTCTTTTTAAGCAAATCCATGTAGCAGTACAAAGCTTAAAATCCAGGGCAGTGGCTCAACATCCTTGTTTCAGGTTCATATCAGGAGGTTCGTGCCTGCTGCTGGCAGACACTGCAAGGCACCAACACTGCTTTTTTGATCTGTGCCTTCATGTTGAGTCTGCAGGGAACCCTGTTAAGAAGGGTTAGATAAACACAATTAGGCTGCATTGCCAGCAATGATGTTCTTATTTAATGCATTAATGAGTGCAGGTGGCAGGACCTCTGAAGTGAATGAAATGCAATGCAAACTCCTGCTGTACTAGCAGAGCCATTGTGAGCCACTGAATGCTGAGCCAGCTCATTTGAGAGATGAGGTGGGAGATGGGAATGAGTTTCCCATGCCTGAACGATAATTTTGAGCATTAGCTTACAGCACAACCAGCTTGTGCCAAAGAACCAAGAGCAAGCGTGTTTTAGAGCTGCATTTCTGTCAATAGAAGCATTAAGATAAGGTGGTCACAAAAACACATTGACTTACTTGTCACCTTGTTCTGTTACCTGGAAGGATTCAATAATGTACTGGCTACAAGAATTCTGCTTAGCCCACACCAGCACTTAGTGCTAGAACAACACCAAATCCCTTGCTTTCCTTCTATAGGCAAGATGCTGGAATCCAGCACAATTACTGTGCTCTGTGGCCTTTCCCACGGTGAAACCTGGTTTATATTTCCTGCTGCTTTAACCTTAGTATCAGTGAAATGATCCCTGGAAAGCTTGTATTGATTGCACATGATTGTCTAATTAAAGTGCAATAAGAAGAATTGCAGAACACTCGCTCTTACAGCCCTGTGCTCATTGTAGACACTGGAAATTAGAAAGCTTTCTGTTCAAATATGGAAAATGTCAGTGCTTAATTCCTTTTGCATTTCCAAGTGTCTCCTGAAGGCTGCACTTGTAGATGTGTGGTTATTTTTTTTTCCTAAATAACAACTAGAAAGAAGTGTTACTTAGAGAAAAAATGAGGCCCCACAGGCTTGCAGGGGCCCTGTTCTAAACCTGCTAGCTGTAACCCTAAAGGGAGGCACTTCTAAATTAATGCATTTTAATCTGAAACCTGCTAGATGATCCTTTAACATCATGTGCACAAATATAAATGGATAACAATTATACAGTATATAGAGACAAGTCTTTAAATAGCGCTCTCTGGTCTTACCTGGAGGCTGTTCGTTGCTCTGCCTGGACTTCATGGCTGTTTTGCTCCCTACTGCTTGTGGTTTGCTACTTTTAGTGACTTGGATCTTCCTGAGATGTATGCAATGAGCTAATTAAAAATAGATCCTAGTGCTTGATACATAGAAGGAACCCAAGAGTTTGTTGTTACAGGAGTGCATCTTGCTTAGACACTGATTGAATACATGGCCTTGAGGAAATCACTGAACTTACCCAAACCTTCAGCTTGCATCCCATCTCTAGATGACCCATGATTTACTGTGATCAGTAATTCTGCCCAAGACACTGGGCAGAAAGATCAGTAGAGAATGGTGGACTTTAATTAATGATGCGTCAACTGCATACAAAGCCTCTTAAATACATTCAGTATCATGTGTGAAACTGACTTTCCCCTTTCTTTCCCTTCCAGATGTACTTTCCGATTTCCTAGCACGGTTATAAAGATCCAGTTCACATCTTTATACCATAAAGAGGAAGTAAAAGAGGAAGCCTCAACACATCCCCTTCGGCCGCTTTACCCTCAGATTTCACCTCTGAAGATTCACATCCCGGAGCCGGATCTCCGGAGCATGGTCAGTCCCCTCCCATCCCCCACAGGCACTATCAGGTAAGATGTTAATTCTCAAAAATGTGTTCTCCTGCATCAGTCTGTCAGCCCTTGTTTTGTTTGGTGTCCTTGGTGCAAGAAATGCCCCATTAAAAACAACTGATGGTTAAATCTCTGATGTTCAAAACAATGGAAGACTGCTAAAATACACTATGGTGGCTGGCAGTAGGGCACAAGGGTTTTGTTTAAGAGCTCAGAGGGCTCAAGGGTAAACGTGAGTGTTGGTTTCACACTATAGAGTTACATATAGAGTCTATCTTTGGCAGTGGAATTAGAAATATTTATTGAGAGCTACCTATATGCATGGAGAAAAGAAAGCAGGCATATACTTTCTATCTTAAGACTGCCTGTTTTATTTTTATCTCAGTAATATTCTGTTGTTGCTGGGTGGTGCTGCTGCTATCTGAAGTTAGGGACAAGGGTGGCCATTGGCATGCAGTTTCCTGGGAATGGAAGGAAATGGGGGTAGGATGCTGACCATGTACTATGGGGCTGTAGCAATCTAAATGTACATCTGGGTGAGTATCCTGTTTTGTAAATTATCTGATCGGTGGATGTGCAGTAGAAATAAGCTGAACATCAAGTTATTGTATGGAGTATTTTCCTTCCTTTTCAGTAAAGAGTTGAGGTTACAGTGTTTCAGTGAAATCTTCTAAAGTTAAATCTGTTACTTGAAGTATAATTCATTTATAAAGTAAAGGAGACTCGTGGTATAGAATGATATATTAGAATTTTAAAACGTGTGAGCATCAAAATAGCAAGAGTGTGCCTGGTAATAGTAGTAGCCTTTGGGTTGTTTTCCTGTCTGTACATTTGTAAAAAGGTATAATATGCAAATCTCTTCTGACAGCACTAATTCAGTGAGTAGTATTCAAATCTGTGTGGCTGAGACCGAGACTTCAGTGTCACAATGAAGCCAGTTTGGGTTTGCATGATCTGGAGGCTTGTTTGGGTTTTTCCGACCGTCTTACAGAGCTGCACAGATGTGCAGTGCAGATATTCTAGAAAGAGGGGGCTGGAGGTAGCTGTGGTTTTAGTCCTCTGTTCAGGGACTGCTTTTAGTTTATATTTAACCTTCTCTTTTTAGATGAAGCTTGTTGCTGGGAGGGGAGGGGGATGGTTCCTTTGCCAACATATGGTAGTTAGTTTCCATTCAGTCATCTTGTGCAAAGCAGCACAGTGTGGTTTGTGTTACTAACAGAGGCTGTATCTTTTGACTCTGGCATATGCCTGCAACCGATATTTGATTCCCTGAGAATGTTTCTTTTGCATAAGGAGAAAGTGGAAATAGTAGTGTTGAATTGTGCTCAGCCCCTAATGCAGTGTTTACTAAGGATGATTAATGATTGCATCCGTTTGTCTTGAGCAGAAGCTAATCCAGCCAAGGCTTCAGAAAACCTCAAAAGACATCTGAGGTTTCGCTTGCCGAAGCCCTTTCATTTCCGAGTTCCTCTTACAGAGGAGGGGCTGACACGTTTGTAAACATCCCTGCTCAGCCCCTCCAGCCTTCCCCTCTCCCCCAGCAGGATCTTGCAGCTCTCTCTTGTGGGCCAGGCTCTGGGAAGTGATTTGGGTGTTTCTGCCTGAGAAGGGAATGCTCCTTTGGGAGCATGTAGCTATGCATTCTGGCCATCTGACTTCCAGGGCAGTTCTTTGCTCTCTTGGTGGCTTCACAGTGCTGGGTGAGGCTGTCACAGTGTCCTCTCCTCCTTCCCAGAGGCAGAGCTGGGAGGGCTGGTGGGGCTCAGCATGTAACTCAGACCCCTCTCCCACTGCTGCCTTTGGGAGGTGGTTGCTGGGTTCTCCTCCTCCTTCCTCTCCCCCTTCTAGTATTTACTTTCCTAATTTGGTGCGTTTGCCTTGCTCCTCCCTGATTGGCCCATGGAAAATTATTGCAGTTTGGAAATCCTGGGCAGGGTGAAATTTCCTTTTTGGAAAGTGGCTCCTGGCCCCCTTTTCCTGCCTCCACCCTGGTGTAGGGCAGGGGCTGTACCTGCACTCCCCCAACCAGATCCAGCCCTGCCCTCCTGACCCCCAACCCTGCTCTGCCTCCTTGTTTACACTGCAGCTTGCTTCCCTGCAGGTTCTCCCCTGCATGCTTCTGGGTTTTTTCCAGCTTATTTATTTTCCCTCTGCAAAGTGCAGTGCCTAGAGAGGGAATGAGCTTTAGTTAAACAAAACCAAACCTGCCACCCTCAGCAGCTTTGCAAAGCAAGATTCCTGCTTATTCCTGGGGAGAAAATGTGCTCACTGTTTTCTCAGATAGGTGTTTTGTCTCCAGGAGGGGCTGTGTGTGGATGTGTTTTGAATGCTGTTGTACAGCTGTAAGGGAAAATGTTGGTTGGCAGCATGCTGTGAGGGTTACGAATAGGCATGGATTATTTCTTCCTGCTTTGAGTTCAAAACTCCTTTTCAAAAAAGTCAGACTTGCATCTTCCAGAAAGGAAAAGGCCACTGTGGTTGTAAGAACTCAGTAGAAGCAGCCTGCCATTTTACACAACATATGAAAGGGCAGAGTAGCACCAAATCACTCCTCAGTAGGTTCAAGGCATTGAAAAGCTCTGTGAAAATCATATGGGGTTTGGTTGAATTCAGTTCTACTTTTTGGGAGATAAAACTGAGTCACAATTTCAGGATTTAAGGAACTGACTGTCAGTACATGGCTTTAAGCTTCTGCACCTTGGATTTGGAGGATCCTCTTTGAGTGACAGTGGTTCTGCGGAGTTTCTTACCTATGCTGCAAACACTTAGCTTTGCCTGATTTAGTGATACGCAAACACCTTTACCTGATTTAGTGATAAATGCACAGTATCTACATGTATGTGACACTCTGTTGCAACCCAGTGTGCAGAGTGGCTTGTGCTTGGGTTATTATCAGATCTACAGAGACAAGGTGTGATGCAGGGCTCAATTCCTGGTCTCAAAGTCTTGCTGATTTGGAGTTCAGATTTATAGTGTTTAGTTTCTTTTTTACTATAGTCCAGTCATTATTAATGGCCCTGTAGCAGTAACTTAACTCAGTTTACCAAATAGCATCTCTCTGCAGCCTTGCCCCTCAGAGCTGGGATGGTTTTCATATTTGAAAATTAAATTCTTTATTTGTACTTGCTTCCCTATTCTAAACAGCAGTTGTGTTCTCAGTGAGATCAATGTCTAGATAGATTTATAGATACACACACACTGCAATACAGAAATACTAAATGTCGTACTATGGAGGTCGGTATTATTATTCATATTTTACAAGTGCTACTTCTGGCTTATCTCTGCAATAGAATAACTTCAGGCTTGAACGTTTTGTTTTGTACTTGTTTGGGTTTTTCACAGAAAAGGCATGGATTCTTAGTTCACAAACATAGTCTTTATCAGTAAAAAAATTTCTGACATGTAGGAGTAAGAGTCCTTAGGGCCCTGTGAGAGCCACTGCTTGAAAAGTGAGGTTCAGTGTTAACAGCTAAGCTGGTAAATATTTGTGTGTGAACCCAAATTTGTATTTCAACTGTTTGTACTTAATATGCCTGCCCACGTTTAATATGCCCTTTCTTATTAGAAGGCTTGTTAACTAGTTTACAGTGTAGTTAATGGTATGAATAATGAAAGATCAACTTCTTTTGTTCTATAAGCTTGATTAGTAAACCAGAAGGTGTGAGCTGAATTGCTTGGTTTCATATGGTTCTTTTTTCACTAAGAGAAATGAGTCCAGTAACACATTGCATGCTCTGATAGCAGATTACTCAGAGGTAGCTGCAATTATCTTGACTTAGCCACCAACTTGTTTTGTGGCCTTTAACAGGTCATTTGAATTCATTGTCTGATTCTTATGCATGCGTAGTGTAATTACTACTTCACAAGCGTGTGTAGTAGATAAATTATGTATTGAGCTCTTATTCCATAAAGCATGACAAGAGTGTGTGTGAGCCATGTTCCAGCAGACCTGCAAATGCTGGCTCTGCTTTGATCCAGACTTGGCTGGGAAAAAGGGGGGTGCTTTTTATAGGCTCTAGGATAGCCATGCACTGCTGTTTCACAACCCTTGGGATTTACTCTGCATTTGCACATTTACTCTGAAGGTGTGTATAGGGGGAGGCTGAATGAAGCCTGGCTTCAGTGGATGCATTCACTCACTGGAGCAGGATGCATAAATATTCCCTGCTCTGCTTCATTCAGGCTTTGCCTTTTCTCAGAGTACTGTGAGCCATTGAACTGAAACGCCGCTGAAGAGCTCCAAGGCAGGTTTTTTGCAGGCTCTTTTGCATTGTCTCAGTTATACATTACTTCCTGCACTCAGGCAGAATGCACAGCTCAGGCAACTCCCACAGAGTTGGACAGAGAGGTGATTATTTTTAATCACCCGAGTCTCCAAACCACAAGCCAAGGAGGATGATGCATATACATCACATAGGAGAAGCAACAGTCTGTGCTGGGCTGGGGAGCTCCTATGCATGTTTATTGCAGATAATGGACTGTGTGCTAGAGGAGATGTGCCAAGCCGTGTGCTGGAGGAAGGCTTGCAGATGTCACCAGCTACAGGAGCACTTCCTCTTCCCCAATGAGTATAAAATGTTCACTGAATCCACAGTCAGAGTGAAGTCACTTCCTTTCCAGGGGAACTACTGGAGCACTGAAGAGTAATAACAATTTCACCTTTCGTGGATAGCTCACTTTCTCTCAATTGTGGCTTGTTCGACAGCTTTGGTTTTCTTCAGCATTAAGCAGGCAGCTCTCAGATTTCTCCTTTCACATCAAAATCCAGCTTGGTTTGGCAGTCTCACCACTTGTGATTGCTTCTGAAACCTGTCTGAAACGCGCAACGTGCAAGAACTTGCCTTTCTTTGAGTTAGGATTTTGGGGCTAGGCCGGGGAAGGTGAGAGCAGTGGAGGATTCTCAGCCATTCTTGCTGATTGGTGTATCGTGGAAAGGCTTGTTTCGCAAGTCCAAGGGCTGTACTTTGACCTGATTCTTGCTTATTGCACATAAAAAGCATCCCTGTATCTTCGTGCCC